GTAAAAAGTAAATTGACCAGTTGACCTAATTTTTTCCTGTTCGATTAAATTGGCGTTTGGCAAAAAAAATAAAAACAATGTTAAGTTTAAAAGGAGCGAGGTGAATTTTGTGCAGGGTTTTAACTAGCACAATAGACCTTAGCCGACTTTGATCCAATTTTCAGCATAGCCTAGGACTTTTATCCCATTTTGTTACGTTTTACCCCCAAATTTTCGGTTTACAGTTTTAGATTACTTGGCCCTTATTATCAAACAAAGTTCGTGTATCCATATTAAACCTTATACCTTTCCATTTATTAGTTTCCTTGAAAGGTTGTATTACTATTTTTTCTTCAGTAGAAGTTTGCTTTTTTCCTTACTTTAAGTTTCAGATTGAGACTTTTTGCAGAATAATTAATGTCGCTAATTAATTTCACAAACAACAACAACAGTTAGTGTTATCAAAATTGTATGGAAGAAGAAAGATTTAATATTGCTTTATTTCATTACACATGATAATAATACCTATTAGTAATTAAATATACAAAAGAACAGAATCCTTAACAGAAGTCCAACACGGAAAAACATGACAATGTTGCAGGCTCAAATTTGATTGAGCCTGTTTATGGACGGTAGTGGTAACTGCAAGCTACCGTCCACGCCTCCTACACCGGTTGCAGCAGAATTTTCATTAAACATGAACTGGTTAACTTTAGATTTTTTCTGTGGATGTGTTCATATGGCGGTTATCATAGAACTTTGAATGTGCACGTTAATGCCATTCCATGACATATTACCCCCAAGGTTAAAAATTGTGTGTGCCATAATCGATAATACAATGAGTGAAACTAAATAAAATGAAATTTGAGAGGGGATCGGAGGTTAATGAAGCCTGCATACCACAGATAAGCTGTCAAAAGACACAATTAAAAAGCAGGCCAATATAATACCCTGAAGGGTGCTTAAACAGTGAGAAATCTTACTTAAAATCTTATTTTTAGTAGCAATTTCCATCTACAATTATGCATTTTTGTAAAGTATTCTAAAAGGGTTTGTTACATTTGGTTTTGTTGGATTTTAAGTTTTTTAAAGACCCCTTGATACCCTTTGTGAAACATTTCAGAACATTGAAAGCGGGCACCTGACTAGAACCACCGACCTTTCCCGTGTTAAGACCGGGGTAGATTTCCTTTTACACAAAAACCAAAAAAAGGCAAAAATTAAGATAACAAAGGGAAAGGGAAAAGTTCATGCACCCCCGATACACCAAAAATAGGGGGACCCGAAGGCACCCAAAACCCAAAACCCGGAGTGGGCATAAGGGTTGAAAAAGGGTAAAGGACATGTAATGTTAAATAAAATAAACTTAAAAAGGGGCCCCTAAAGGGAAATTTAAAGGGGTTTAAAGGGGGTAAGGGGGGATAAAGGGGGAAAGGGGTTAAAAAAAAGGAAAAGGGGGGTGAGAAAATACCTTAAAACCCTAAACGACAAACCAACAAAAACCAAAACATACAAATAAAAAACAAGTAAAAAAACACAGAAATGAAAAAAAACCTTTTCCGGGAACCCAGAGGGGTACCGCCCCTTTGAAGGGCATGGAGTTAAACCCCTTTGGGGGGTTTAAACCCCGTTTTTTTTAGGCGCGCCAAAAACTCACACTTAGCCCCAAAATGTTCCTGAATGACATTTAAAGTGTAAATAAATTAAAACCGTCCCGATGTAATTTAAAAAGGGAAAACGTAGCGTCCAAATGTAAAAGGTTAACAAAAACATGCAGTAATGCCTTAAATAATTGGTTTATAGGCCCCCTTTTTAAAAAACGTTTAATTTAATTTTTTGGAAAATGGGTGAAAAAAAAACTTGACCCAAATTTTTACGAAGTTTTAAACGGCTTTTCCCAAGGAAAAACTTTTGCTAAAATTTATTTAAAGGGATTTCAACCACAGCAGTAAATGGAAAAAATGTTTGAATCGGGGGCCTTTTTCCCGCTCTTGGGCCCCAATTTATGTACATGAAAACCCTCCATCCGGCTCACTGGAGAAGATAAATTGTTAATTGTCTGATCCCTTAATTTTTTATACTCTAATAAATTTTCAATATTATTTTTTTTTCAGAAACATTTTGAAACTTCTAAACAGGATGTCTGAAATGATAAAACGACTTTTAATTTAAGAATGACAAAATAATCTTGACTTCAACAAAGAAGCATTCGAAATAACGCCATAATCATAATTTGATTTGAATGTTTTTTTTTTTGTTCGAGCTGAGAAGGATCTTTAAACATTGCTTTATTTAAAATCTATATTTTGGGTCTTCGTATCCCCGATTGCAACCAAAACCATTTGAACAACATTGGTAGAAAGTCGCTAGGTCTATTGCTGTAATCCTGCAAAAATTCACCTCGCTCTATACTGTAACATTTTTTTTTCAAACGCATTTAACGAACAGGAAAAATATGTTCAACTGGTCATTTACTTTTATAAAACGTTTCCTAACATAAAGGACTAACGTTTTGCAGATTTACTTTTTCTTAGCATGCCATAAATAATGTCGGAATGGGAGAAAAATGCGTTGGTCTCTCGATTCAAATTTTCAAACTGTCAAATCTGCATATTTATGAGACAATATAGAGGTAAATCTGCGGTGTATGGTCTCAGGGGTGTAGCTATGTCTGTAAAAATTCTACGCAAAGCGAGGCACAAAGTGCCAAGAGGGGGAGCGTGAGGGAGGGGGGTGTCCCCCTTCCGCTGGTGGGGGTGTGAGGAAAATTTTGAAAAATTAAAAGTTAAATGGTGGGTTCTGGCATGTCTTGAAGCACCTTTTGCACGTAAAGCATGAAGCATTTACAAGTCATTTGCACCATAAATTGATAAACATATAGCTGCTCGTTTTACTTTAAAATTAACTTATTTCATTATAACTTCGAACAGAATTGTGAAGAAAAAAGGCAGTGCACGCCTTGTAGTTTTCTTATTTCACACGTGCATATAAACATACACAAAATTTTTTCCATGTAAAGTTTGATTAAGGATGCAGATCATGAAATTGGTTTATGTATGAATTGTTCAATTATAAAACGCAGTTAACCAGATAACAAGTTTTTTTTTTTGAGGAATTTATATCTCATCAAATCAGTTTGGTAAGAACGGCTTTTAGCTTAAGCCTTTAGCCTTATTAATCCAAGTGTATGTATTATTTCCAAATGCACAAGAAAAATTATATACTATTAGGACACTTATATTCCATCGTAAGAAAGTAGGGAAATTTCCAGATACAACGAGATATTAAATGGTCTAATGATCACTCCATAGGTCTCCTCAGGCAGTGATGAGAGAAAGAAAAGGGACTTACTCAGATTATAATTTTGATGCCCATAAAATAATGACCTAAATGATGGCTTGCTAACGCCTCCCTGTTCTTGTGTACTTTTCTGCCGAATAGGCATTGATCCGAAATCGACCACATTCTGTTGCGATTTCCTTGCAGATTGCGTACAAAAGTGGTCGGCTCTTGTGATGGGATTCATGCGTTCTTTTGAGTGTGTGTGCCCATCAAACGACTTTTCTTGCATTGCTCCAATCAATCAACGGTCGAGCAACAAGCACATTTTTAGCCGCATTAAAGGCAAACATTTTAGCACAAAATACGCCATCAAGTAAAGGGCTGTATCTTAAGTAGGTGGGTGCTTCTCTTGCTCAAAAACAATGTCCAGCACTCGCCTACTTGTTGCCTTTTTTCGAGTTCTCTGAGAGGTGCAGCCCAACCTGTATGTGGCTCGAACCGTTCGGTGCCCGTGATGACAACATTTTTTTTATCTGGCATTCTTAGTCGGCTTCTGATATAAATACTTCCGATATCCAGGAATCGTGCTCACAGGGAGCTTCTTACGGTTCTAGAAGGGAGAAGAAGCAGGGGGAGACAAAGAGGAGGAGGTGGACGGAGAAGAAGAAGGGAGAGGAGACGCGACATTGGCGTCTAATTTGCTGATCACAGGACGGTCACACGCCAGGTCTTTGTGAATTCTGTTTTGTATCTGCCTGGTCAGATTCATTATCGACTTGAATGGGGTCCTGTTTTTAGGACCATAAACAGGGTCGCTTGCCCTGGAATTTGGCGAATGTTTCTTTTCATTTTGACAACTAACAACACACCCAAAAATTAAAATTTGCCACGAGTTGATGATTTTTTAAAATCTTGATCTAGAACTTAAAAGATTTAAAGCCGTTTTAAAATAGAGCTATTCCAAAGGAAACGGTTTAAGAAAGGATTGGTCTAAATCTTTTAAGAAAAGTCTTTATAATCTTTATTTTTCTTCGAATTTAACCAACGATAAGTTATTATGAGCCTAGTCCTGTAGATAAATTAATGCTGAGCCTTTACATTCATTCTCTGTTGCAATAAGTTTGTAAAATGATACGAGTTTAAAACGAGAAACTTAAATTCCTATTGCACATATATTACGATAATTAATAGAAAGTCAGTACACGATAGAAGTGACGCAATCATAGTTTAACACTTAGTAAACGTATGACGCAACGAAATATTTGTGGATAAAGCGATAAAATTATTAAAACTTAGATTTACTCAACTTTATTTTTTTACCTTATGAATTTTTTATACGCAATTGCGTATTATGCATAGTGGGTGCTACGCCCTTAAACGACTAGATACTGGATACAAAGCACAAAAACATCTTTAAGAAACAAAACTACTTGTAGTATAGACCGGAATAAAAATCACCTACCTGTCCTCCTTACAAATAATCCTCAATCTTTAAAATTCTATACTGTAACCTGAAAACCCGATACTGTAACACGTTCCCTACGGTGGGAATAGGGCATATTATTATTAACAGGTATTAAACTGGTTTAAATATTACAATATTTTTGTGTTTAAAAGAGCGTAGATCTATCACGTTGGGGGCAAATCTGACCACAAACAATTTGTAAACGTTTTAAATGTCTCCATGGTCTCTAGCAAAAAAAAAGCAATGATATTTAAAATAAATAAAATATCCATACCGCACAGATATAGGAAACATTTCCAGATGTCACTTAATTGAAATAGCAATATCGTGAAGATAATCAATGTAACAAATGGAGCTATTACTATTACTAATACAACCACTAACACTAATAAAATCGTCATAATCGTCACAATTTCACTCATGTTTATCAACTGTTTTACATGTACTGTACTGTAGAAAAATGTAACAGTTACTATGTACATGCAATATGCACATAGTTTAAGCGCGTGTAGTGTTAATAAATAGATCGGAATATGTTAGTGTAATAATAGGGTATGTAAGTCTCGTCATGTGACTTGCGAGTTTTCACGATACTTTGAACTTCCGGGTAACAACACTGTTTATCTATAGGCAAGTTGATTGTTATTGTTTTGATTCGTATATTTCCGCGCATGCGCATTTACTGGTTGGCAGAAACAAAACAAATAAACATGGCGTCAAAGGAAATCGATATGATGGTGGCGAGTAAATTAACAACGCAGATTTCTCATTTAGATACAATTTCAATGAATAGATATGCTGAAAAGTTGCTTGTGGATGGATTTATGATTCCCGATCCGTACGGGACAGGTTTAAAGTACGAAACCTCTACACAGAAGTGGCCGAATGTTTTGTTTGGTGACATTTACAACTACCTGATCAATACGCCAGGAATCTACACACAAGAAAGTATGAAAGCATATAAATCACTTGATGGGTATAATTTCTTCGCGTGTGGCCATGTCCAGGAAGTCCTGTTTTCTGAAGTTTTTGTGTGTTAAAGTCAAAGGTCATGCCATCTCAGAGTGTCACAAAGAAGCCTCATGAACCCTGGGTGTGTGTACACAAGGAGAAGGGCTACATAATCTCTGCACATTTAACATGTAAAGCTGGGTAAGATTTTTTTACATATTGCATTGAAATTTATTTTTATATATTGATCAATATTGTTAATGTATATAATTTTATTACACATCATAACTGATCACATCTGACATGATTGTAAAAGTTAACCTTAATGTCATAGTGTGCAGCCCTGACAGAGACACAAACTTTGGACCCTCAGGTTACGGTACTGCAGCTTTACGGACTGAGCTATTTTAGGTTCTACCAGCCCTTTAGCCCTAACTAGTGAACAATTTAATACCTTAATTTGCATCAAAATTTTTATTTTACAGTAAAATGTGAACAATATTTTGTCACATTCATGTATGTCTAATGCTGTTCATTATGCCTAGCCACTGCTGCCACAATTAAAATAGGGTTGAATGATACAAAATGTATTATGTACAAATGATTAAGCATTTTATTTTTAATGAAAAAGCTTAATTATAACTGTGAATTTTTAAACTTTCAGACTTGGAGAAGCTTGCAGTCATGTTGCTGCCCTCCTCTTCAAAATTGAGAGAGCATCATTGTATGGGTTAAACAAAGAAAGTCGAACTAGTGTCACATGTGCCTGGAACCAGTTCTACCAAAAGAAGGTAATAACTATATAACATACTTAAAAAATAAGATGATGTTTTCATGCTTTTTTAGCATAACTCAAAGCACAAAACTTTAAGGCTGTCTTTGCAATTTCCATTTGCTGTACTGTAGATGGTTACACTTGCAGGCTAGATCTTTCTGGTTTCACAACTATTATAATGTTATGAATATAAAACTTTAAAAAAAGAGTTTTGATTTCTTATATTTTATTTATCTTCCATACTTAATACGTTTGAAGTATGATGTCATTTTTTAAAAAATTTACTATTCATAGATACATAACATTTTGTAGGTAACGCCTCAGCCCATTAATGAAATCGACTTCAACAGGCCCAAGCGTAAGGTCATCAAAAAGCGGAAGAAACCAACAGCTGACAGTGATGAAGATGACCTTGATGTATCATCAATGTTCAGGAAGTTAAGGCAAATTCACCCTCTGCTTGCGTCTAACTAAAGGATGACTCGGAAACTGATACTGCTTCAGAAGACGAGGACTTGCCACCAGTAAGCATTTATTAAGCTTTAATTATTCATTTAAACTAATTGCCTGATTTTATTAAAAATCAAATTTGCATCCATTACATCATGTTAAAGGAACTCCACTTTGGTTTTTTTGATCACATTAAAGGGACTCCACTCTGGATATTTGATATGGCGAGACTAAACACATTATTTGGAGATTACTGTTCAGTTTGATGAAAATATTGACCAATAACTTGTGTGCAAAGTTCCAGATCATTTTCTCACTTCGGTTGTCTAGAATTCAAATTTATGTTCTGATTACATTTAAGAAATATTATGTTTCTTGGTTATCCTTTGCATAGATTTATGGGTTAACTACGCCACCTTTTCTATGTAAGATATTCAATATCTTTTTCTTTGCAGCTACTACAGAGATGCTGGAACTTGGAGCCCAACCTTCAAGAGATTAACATAGACAGCAGTTACAGTCATCTGATGAGAGATTTCACTGTAACTGAGCAACAGGCACAGAATTTGGAAGTCATGACCAGGGGACAGCATGAAAGCCCAGCTTGGCACAGACAAAGGCAAGGCAGGATCACTGCGTCATTTGTGCATGATGTTAAAACATTGAAAAGTGACACTTCGCGAAAATCAATTGTGAATAAGATACTGAAAATAGACCAAAAAAATCTGAGCAAAATTGAGGCAGTGAAGTTTGGAATAAAAAATGAGAAAGTAGCCAAAGAACAATATAAAACTCAAATGATGAATGTGCACAACAATTTTACATTACGCGACTCTGGTTTAGTGGTTGACACAACATGCCCTTTCTTTGCGGCAACACCAGATGGTGTAAGAGAATGTTCTTGTCATGGGAGTGGGCTTGTTGAAGTCAAATGTGTATATAAGCACAAAGACCAAGAAATAAGTAACATTGATGACAATACCTTTTATTTAGAGAAAGACGACTTAAGTTTGAAAAAAGGACACAGATACTTTACACAAGTGCAATTTCAAATGTATGTTTGTAGTAAAACATTTTGTGACTTTGTTGTGTTCACAGAAAAGGGAATTCATATACAAACAATTAACTATGACTCAGACTTTGTGCAGGAGTTGATTGAAAAATGTGACAGTTTTGTAAAGAATGACCTTCTTGTTGAAATTATTCAAAGGAAACTGTTGTAAATGTAGAATTGTAGTGAGAACTTTGTATAAACCATGTAAATACTAAGTAAACACTTTTAGATACTACTTGTGTTATATGGTCGAAAAAAAAATAAATTTAGATAATCACTTATTGGTTGATGTTGTATTATATGTACTTAACTTAATATACAAGGTTTTGCTAGCTTTAGGTGGGCTATATGAGAAGATACTTCATATGTTGCATAGGTAACTTTATTTACAAAATGAAAGACATAGAGTAAATTATACGAAAACATGACATAACATAGAAAACAAGCAATTATCATAGTATTGCAAGCAATCCATAAGTCTCCTGCCGGTTAGGACCCCATCAACATTCTGAAGGGCCATTGGCCATTCACTAATGTTTCAATTTTTCTCTATTTTAAGTAAATTTGTTGGAAAAGTTCTTTAAAGGTGATCACAGCAAACAGTTTTTATGAACAGAAAGTTAATATTTGAAACATCCCTGTTACCAAAATATAACATTTTTAAAACCAAAATTCTTAAAGAGGACATAACTCTTGAATTAAAGATGCAATTTCATAAAAATTTTCAGCTCTTTTTGACTAATCACAAATTTTGTTATATTTGCCATGTTTTAAGCCTATTTGTTGCCAAGGCAACCAATATTTTTTTCAAAATAGGAAGAACAGATAAGACATGCATAATCTCAAGACTGCCATCTACCTATATGTCAAGTTTCATAATAATATTTCCAGTACTTTTTGAGTTATCACTGGATTCAGTTTAATGAGTTTATGTGTAAAATTTGCCATATTTTCAGTCTATGTGTTGCCATAGCAACCAGAATTTTCAACATAATCTCCAGACTGCCATCTACCCATATTGCAAGTTTCATAAAAATATTTCCAGTACTTTTTGCGTTATCACTGGATCCAGTTTATGTGTAAAATATGCCATATTTTCAGCCTATTTGTTGCCATAGCAACCAGAATTTTCAACATAGGAAGAAAAGAAAAAAAACGTGCATAATCTCCATACTGCCATCTATCCATACATCAAGTTTCATAAAAATATTTTCAGTACTTTTCAAGTTATTGCGGGATCCAGTTTTGTGGACGGACGGACTGACGGACTGACAGACAGACAGACGGACAGTTGGACGGAGGGTAAACCTAAAGTCCCCTCCGGTAAACCGGTAGGGGACTTAAAAACATGTTCAACAAATGACCAACAATACATAGAATAAATATTAACGAACACATTTATAACATTACAAATTACAGACATTACAAAGAATAAATACAAACACATTATTTTTTAAAGAAATTAATGACATTACATTGAATTTCTAGAGGACATTTATGCTTTTACTTCATTTCCCTGTCTCGGTGGAATAGTTAAAAACTTGTGCTTCATAAAATAACTGGAAATATATCCGTGATATGAATTATATGATCAACTGAAAGATCCTCAGCTTTTATGAACATGTCACTTTTAAATACCGAAACCATATAAATAGTTCATGTAGATCTATTAAGCAATTCTAGATCACAACATTACATTTTCACTTCCATAGAAAAAGTCCTCTTATCACTTCACTAATTTTGGCAGCAGATTAGTCAAAGCCGAGCATATGGTAACAATTGAATCGGCATGTGGCAATAACGTAATTGGCATTACATTTTTAAGAATTTGAAACCTTTTCACACGCTCTATAGCTCGCTCAACATGGATTCTTGAACGTGAAAGCCTTCTGGAGTTTTCAACCTCTTTTTGTGAAAATTGTTTTTTCCCTTTACTAAATGGTGGAATGGCCAACTGTGCCCCATATGCTGCTAGTTCATCCTGAATTAAAAATCCACGATCTGCCAAAACAAGGTCACCATGGTCAAGTTTTTCATAGAACTTTGATTCATTTGTGATGACTTTATCTGAAACTCTCCCACCCCAGCACTTTGACAGAAAACTGACTGCCCCGTATGGTGTGATGCCTATAAGTACTTTCATTGTATTATGGTGCTTATAACTACTCCATGTCTTTGCTCGAGCTTTGAGGTTAGTGGGTCGCTGTATGAATATCTCGGTACAGTCAATTATTACTCTGCACTTACGGTAGTTCTTTCTGAAACTCTTTGGCATGTTTTTTATAATTCTGTCCTTAGATGGCCATATGATAAGTGGCTTAAGCTTTTTAGCTAGTACTGGAAGAGATTGTGTCAAAATCTTTGAAACTTGTGTTGGTCCTATTTGGAATATCTTTGCTAGGTATGAATTAGTAAGATTAAGTCTTAGTTTCATAAGGACCAAGAGAAGCATGTCACCAACATTTAATTTTCCTATTGGTTTAAAGTTATTTTTAACAAGGTCTAGAACAAACATGAACAGTGTCATTGAAGGGAGTCCAGTTAGCATGCTGATTTCTGAATTTTTAACGTTTTTAAATGTAAATTTCTGTTCTTCAATCCTTGACTTAAGCTCCCTATTTTCCCTCTGCAGTCTCTGGTATTCAGTGCTAAGCTTAGAGTAATCTTCCTTAAGGATATCATAATCTTTTTGTAATGCATCTGGCTCTGGGTCTGTTCCTGAAAAAACAAAAAGGAAGAAATGTTAGGCTTTGATTGGTAAATATGTCTAGTTACACAGTTATTCACAAATTACAGGAGACAATGTCAAAGCGGTTGGCTAGCTCAGTGGAAAGGTCATTAAATGTAAATGCAATAGTCTGAGGTTTGAGACCTGGACAGGTTATGTGTACATTTTCCTCATCTGAACCAATAATTAAAAGAAAGGAAAAATTGTTTAACTACAGCTACATATAAGAGCTATTAGAATTTATATATTACTAAATTACCTGTTTCAACAGTCATAGGCTTTTTTAGAGTTAATAGGACTTCGGCTGCCTCTTCAGCTGTCATAACCGGTGGTAAATTCTCCTTATCATCAAAGCATGTATCAAGTTTCCTTCTTTTCAATGAACGTTCATATCTGTTCAACCGAGCTGGTGTCTCCATAACTTTTGGAGTTGGTGTGAAAATGAACCTGCTAGGTGCATAATCTGGGTGACTTGAATCCAAGGATGGTGAACCTGTAATTGATATATCATATAAGACATAACAATAAAAATAATTTGTACACATTTAATGTACAGTAATTTACAAAAGTGCTTGCCAATTAAGAAGTAAATAAAAATTATGACTTTAATTTTGTATTTCTAATTGTGACATCCTATATCTGATATCTATCATACATGTATATACAGTTGTATATATAGCTAGATTGAACTTCTGTGAACAGTGAACAAGGCTTAAGAATCAATCATGTAGCGTACATCAATGACTGACAGCATCCCATATGAAATGTAGATACAACTACTACTGATCTCTACATAAAAACTAACCCGATACGAAATGTTGACTGCATAAACGATCGTGAGCCGAAGGTTGCCAGAATTTCTTCGGGTCCGTTATATCCATCCGTTTCATCGCTATTTGCCATCTTAATTTTCTCTCTCCTTGTGGAAATCGAAAGAAACGAATGCCTGAGCCTTTCACAAAACGATTTGTGCAACCAGGCGTGCAACTGCTGATCGGCATGGCTATATTTAGTTTGTTTACAATCTATCCACGCTCTATAAAATTTCAAAACTGGTTGAATTTGTTTTGCCAACCAGCGGAACTGGCAGTTATTTAGCAGGTGCGCGTGACGTCACTCGTCAACTTGCCTATATCGGGTTATACTTGTATGCCGGTGGAAAAGTAAAACCACGGTTTTATATTACTATTTGTAATGTAAATCCGTGGTAAAACTTACACGAAAAAGCGAAGGGGTTGTGAAAATTGATAGAGTTTTTTGTTTTGTAAACGAAATGTAAACGGTTTCATCTTGTGAACAAGAATCAATGAAAGACACTTCGTATAAACTTCAGGTGGGTGTGTCCACAGACACTTGGGGTTATGTGCGTGGCTCCCCTTCTTGATCCGCACTTGTATACACCATGCCTATTTTTATCGTGCAAACCGTACGTCAAAATATTTTTGCATATTATTAGACCTGGTCACATGTCTTGAGACTTGAACATAAAACTTGTTTTCCGCTTGTTTTAACAACGGTTAAAAAAGTCCCTTAAATACCATAATTTCAAATTGAAGCGTTGGTAAAAAAAAAGTTTAATAAACTTTACTTTTAGTTTTTAATGTTCAGGGCGGAGAAGGGCGGGGTCCATACTCCAAGAGTCTGTGATTCAGTATACTGCAATGAATGTTGTAATAATTTCATATCCATGTAAACCTGATAAATTTCTGTATTTGATACAACTTCATTCGCATCTGACTTCAAACTGGTGAATTTGATTTTTATCGATTTTCTATAGCGCAACCTGATTATCAGTCAGAAGTATAAAGTATACAGTAAATAGTTGAAGTCATTATAATATTTTAATCCATAATTTGTTTGTGTATAAGTATTTATCAGTAGTCAAAGGAAATCTATATAAGGTAGAACTCCACAGTTAATTTCAAGTATCCTACAAGCAATGCGTCTAATAATTTTGATACCAAACTACACAACTTGGAAAAAAACACATTTTGTTATAAACATATATATGACATAAAATTGCAAATCTACAAAGAAATTATCTACTGCTAAATGTTTGTACCCCCTGTAAAATGACTTCTTTTTACCATGCATGCTGTTTAAAAGCAATGTTTACAAAGAATGGCGACCTTGACATCTATAATTAACAGCATGTGATTTCTGGCCATGTTTTCGAATTTGCCAGTGATCATATTAGATGTCACAAAAACAAATTTCATGCTGAAAATGCACTTTTAAGAAAACCAGTCATTTAAATGCAGAATATTTACTATTTTCTTTATATGCAGGTATGTAATTTCATGGTTGGATTTTGAGTACTTGTCATGGCTCTTGGTTTGTTTTTGAGTGTTAACTAGTGATATTGAATGGAAATGTCCATACACAGCAATGGACTAGACAACGGTTGAAACATGGCAATCCATTACAGATGTTTGACTGAATTAAAGCTTCATGTCTTATATAAACAATCTTATTGAAATTTTGTAATGTAATAAAATCTAAGGTTGAAAACACTTCAAAGATACATGTATATGTCAATGTGAAAATGTTAAACAAAATATCTGTTTTGTTTGAAATAAAAAAAACTGTCATTTGTAACTTTGTATTAACTTATATTCAAAGATAATGTATCTTCTGCATATGACTGTTTACAAACAAATTCAACCTGGCATCAGAGTAATAAAATCTAAGGTTGAAAACACTTCAAAGATATATGTCCGTGTGAAAATGTTAAACAAACTATCTGTTTTGTTAGAAATAAAAAAACAACTTTTGTGTTAACTTATATTCAAAGATAATTTATCTTCTGCAAAAAAACTGTCCAAAACAAACTCAACCTGGCATCAGACTAGTTTCAAAACATTTAAAATGAAATTGTTATAAAAAAAACTTTCAAGGTGATAAGAATGGAAATAATGATAAATGTTCTGAATTAAAAGTTTTCTATTTTCATTTTTATTTGAGCAAGTCATACCATCACCATGATCACTGTAATTGTAAAAGTATTTTTATAATGTATCAGTTTTAATTGATTCAATGGATTTTAATGGCTCATAATGGCACAGTAATGTTTTTATCTTTATTTCTCAAAAGTGTTTTGAATTTGGTGTCCTGATTAAGGTTCCAAAAATTTGCTTCTGTTACTTTTTAACAGGAAGTAAAGTTTTTTTATAAAGTATTTTGTATGAAAGTCAAAATACTTCTTTGTTGAAATTTTTCACTTTAATGACAAATAATTTTATTTACTGCACTTCTTTCTTGAGCTTATAAGCATGTGACATGCTCTTAAATCATTATTTAAATTCATAAAAATCATCTCAATGAAAAACTTGTTTCTGAGAATGCCTTCCACTATAAGCTTTTCACTGCTCTTAGAAAAGCCATGGTTTGCATTGTACATGGCAGGTAGTAAATACAAGAGTATCCACAAATCTGATAATTAGAATTAGACAGGTTAGGACAGTGATTTATATATTCATCTATGTTGAGTATTCTATAGCAAAACATTAGCTTTCTAGAGTTTGAAAACCCAAGTCTGTCTCTTTACCTTTTACCCCATGAGCATATTGCGAAAAATGGCCGTTTTCATTGAAAAGCCTCCTGTAACAAGTTCAAACTGCTATGAAACAATGAAAAATGCTTCAATACTGATTAAACTGAAAAATGTTGACTACACCGTAGTCTCTGTAACAGATGCTCAATCGTAAATTTCCTGTTACTATGGCAACGGGGGGACGTCTCAAAGTTGCCAAAAATCACTATTTTGCATTGTTTTTTCCATCCAAACTGATTTCAAATTGCTGCAACTTCTCAATGAATTGAGATAGAGTAAAAGGCTTTTCAGCGTCGGTAACCAGTTTTATAGTAGGCCATTTTTAGCCTGTCACATGTCCAAAATTTTCTTGGTGATGAGGGGGACTGCCGCCCCCCTTCACCCCCCCCTCCCCAAACAGAAGGGGGCACATCCCCCTTCTGGCAACCTCCTGATGTAACATTTGGAAGTTGTCACTTTTTAAACAACATTTCTCAAACGAAAAACAGTGTTTGGGGCCTAAATAGGGCATTTTTTACTGTTTGAGGCCTCAAAAAGGGGGGGGGGAGACAAAAAGCCGTCGAAACACGCTTATATAAGGGAAAGGTTAATAAAAAATTGGAAAAGACCAGCAATTCTGCATTCCTTGATAAGAAGTGTCAGAGGAGCAGTTATCACATAACATATACTTCTTTGTGTTTCAAATTACCTGTTTTACAACGTAGTTAACCAGTGGACATTTAACAAAAATGGAAAATCTATACAAAATATGCAAAACTTAGGGTTTGCACTTGATACAATACAATCACTGATACATAAATATACCCAAATTGGGACTGTTTCAAAATTGTCAATGTAAAAATTCAATGCTCTCTAGTGCTGTCCATGTACATAATTATTAATGAAGTCATTGGTCAATCCTGTGAAGAGCTGTCAAGAATTATTCATCAACATTATTTAGATTCAAGGACAGAAAAAATTCTAATGGCATGCACATTATTTACTATAGACAGTGCTTGACATTGCTTGTTATTCAAGCAATCTAGCCATTGCTGTTAGAGAATTTAAGTTCACACTTATTTTGCAGATGAACCCTTATGATCAAGTATTGCTATAAATATATGCAAAAAAGTTAACACAAAAACATTTTATAAGTTTGATAAACTTTTATTTTTTCACAATTTATAGTACAGTACTTTACAAACATATCAGATTGGTTTTTCATTTTAAGAAAAACTCCAGGAAGGCACAGGAAAATATTGTTAGTTATTTGAACAATGTAACTTTACACCGTGAATGTCTACTGATACAATAATGAAAATATTTTCTATTACAAATATAAAGACTTTGAAAATTTAAATGGGCAAATTATCAAAGTTATAAATCGTATTATAAGTAAAAGACATACAAGTATTATATTTTTTCTTTTTTTTTCCATCTTTACATCACAGTCATTTGTCCATTATGACATATGACTGCACTGTACGTGATTCGATGAAAATCATTATATCTGGTGTGTTTCCTACTTTGGTCTATAAAGAGTATCTTGTTTCAATACTTAGAGCTGCAATGAAATTCAGATATTTCAATCAATCATTTTGACATTAACATTTAATTTGATTATGGTATCATAATGAGACCATAAAATCATACTCATTTACACTAAGATTTTTGTGTTGTTTGTCATTCAGCTACTTCAGGAAGGTACATTCAACTACTCTCAGGCTAAGGTTTCACTGTGACTGTGTGTCTTGAAAATGGTGGTTGCAATAAAGTTCTTCATAGACAAATTTTCCCCTCATCTTCGTCCTTTTTATCTGTAAGTTAAATAAGAATAACAAAATATGTTGTAATAAGTGTTATAAATGTAAGACCTAAATATATTTCACTGAGTAAAACACTACAAATGATATTAACATGAGTTTTAACTAGCTGGTCATGATTGAAAGAAACTTTCATTTTTGATGTAAACAAACATTAAAGATAACCTTATAATAATATAATTGCCAAAAATATAAAAGAAACTATTTCTTTTGTTTATGTCTTCAATGTGAAACATGACTGTTTTTCGTGTTTTTTTACTTCTCAATTATCATGCTGTGAAATCCAAAAATAATTGAAATAATTTGATAGTTTATCTTTCCAATCTAAACTAAAAATAACCAATTATTTTACATTTATTTACCTCTGATGTGTAGATATTTCAGGACCACTGGCAGTGCGGTATAGATGGATACCGAAAATAAGCTATTTTCGCGAAAATAAGATCGCGGCTACGAAAATAAGATTTATTTTTAAAATATTGCCTTTATCTGTTAAAGTTATTTTGTTTATTATATATTTATGCATTCTTTGAATGATTTTACAGCAAAGTTAAATTTCAGAACCAAAAACATAGACAAAGTTATGGCCCGGACAAGGTTTTCGAATACACGCATACACGCATGGACAGAGGTACGCTTGTAATTCACACTATATACCCCTTGCCACTATCATGGCAGAGGCATGAAACATTATCTATAAACTATAATAATACAATACAAAATTGTATGCCCCGTATAAAACTATTAAAGCCGGGTTTGTTTGTGACCTTTTAAAATAAGACATTATCCGCTGGATGTTGCTAGTTGTCGGCGTTAAACACGTTGTGATACTGCCTTGCATTGGATAAAACCTGTAAAATATCTTACGACGAATAAGTTTTACTGCGCAATTCCATTATTGATAGCATTTTGTTTAAATATAAACTATAGCCAACTTACAGTTAGTCTTCTCCAAATCCCTCCAGAGGCGTGCACGTCGCGGAGAAGGCACACGGCAGGTCAAGGTCAAGTCATCTTAAGTACCAGAGGTGATTGGTTGACCTGTCGTGACTAACTCTGGAGGGTTGGCGCTAATGAGAGCCGTTTTTGTTATCGTCAGTATGGAACATGATGCCTGGCCAGTATTGTCGTACTCCTCTACCACCAACGAACGAAGAATGGGAATATCAGGAAGACTCAGCTTGAAAAAGACGTCCCCGATGCGACTACCTTAGTGGACCGGCACGGATGCTGAATTCTCGGACAGATGGTTATACCGGCGCCGAGTATAAATAAACTTAAACTGACTGACTGACTGGTTTACAGTTAGTGAGTCATTGCATGCTAACCAATGATCAAAGCATGAACGATCATAGCTCATTAATCATTCATTAATTTACTCAAAGAACCCGAATATAGCCAATTCTTCACTAGCATCGTCACGGAAGATTACTTGTATCAGTGTGTAGTTACACTTGATTTATTACTAACAAAAATTGTTTTCTTCAAATTTTGTATCCTGGATTAGGGAGACAAAAGGAATTTTTTAAAAATAAAAATGCTACGAGAAAAAAAAAAAAATTTATTGTTGTAAATGAAGCGCTGTGTCATTCTCCCCTGTGCAATGGCTGGCAAATTTTTAAAGCCTGCACAAATAAATAAGCCTTTTATAGGTCTATGGATTATACATAAATAGAGAATATTGAATTAGTGTAAGTTCAAAACTGAATTTATTGCACGAGTTGAATAAAATTATATTATGCGAGCCTCTGGCAATCATAATATTATTTGATTCAACGAGTGTAATAAATTCAGTAATGAACTTACACGAATTTAATATTCTATTTATCACATACCCAAATCTAAGACCGTTTAAAGTGAAATAAGAGTCATTTTTCATTGACACGCCTATAGTATAACGCTAACATTTAGCGCGTCTTTACACTATGTTTGTATAACGCTAATGACGGCACGTCATATATGCACGGCCTTGCAATACCATATTAACGGAGTCGCAAAATTGGCACGGGTGTGTGATAATAAAGTTTAGTTCACGGCTGTGTGTGTTTTATTTTATCGGTATGGTATAACAATAAATTGTTAAGAAACCAGTCTAAAATGTCCTCTTTATAATAGGACATTTCTATGAGAAAAGGGTTTGTAACGACGCTAACTGTTGTTTAACACAGATTTAAATAATCATGGAGCTTACTAACTATAAGCATGTATAACTATAAAGAATAAAACAATTTTAGAAATCTTCGACCATTCGGGAACTATTTTGCTTGAAAATTAATGCGCCTGTCATTTGACCATCTTTACGCAGTGATCTCCCCTGATTTTTTTTCGGCGTTAGTGTACATATAAAGGGAAGTAACCGCTTCAAAAAATCGGACTACTTTCGGTATTTGCAATTAACAGCATCAGGGTCTGAAATTTCGCTACCATTATTTGTTTGGTCTGACTACCCAAACTTGCCAAGTTGTATACAACAGACAATTAAAGGGAGATCACTGCAATTTCAAATACACTTTTCGGTCATATCACGGTGGTCAGTCTTTTAAAGAAAGTGCTAAAAGATCAGCAAGACGAAAGCTCTAGATCTGATGTCAGTCAAACTTTGAATTAAAGAGACCGCGAACAAGCCAACACTTCTACGGTGTTCCATTTGGGCCATCGTCTATGAATAAAGAAACACCGTACTCTTCAATCGTATTGCTGTGTTTTATTACGTTACCATGTTAATCATTGCATTGTTGTACCAATGCGAAGAAGAAAAAAACATACATTATCTGTATCAATAAAAACAAAAAGCGATTTGTTGAACAAGTATCATTCGATTTTTCTCATATTTATTTCTTAGTTAAAGAAAGTTGAAAATGAGAAATATTTATATCCAAAGTCTATCTTCTGTTCACAATGTTCAGCAACAGGTATCTGAAAAATATAAGAACGTGTGTTTTTGAGCAATTTTTAGTGGGAAAATCATTAAGTACATAATAGAAACTTTTTATCAGAGGGAATCGCAAAATTTTGACAATGTTATATAATATCCAAATCTATGAGTGGTTCGACATACTTGCAATATTCCAGAGAAGGGAATGTCATGACCTCAAACCCCCGTTTCCTCTGGATCCGCGGAAACGAAGTCGTGCCATTTGTACATATTCAATTCAATTCCATGCAATATATTATTTGGTAAAAAATATAAATGTTCATGGATAAATGTTCATGGCCAATATAACATATATACATTGGCGGTGCATATACAAAGAGAAAAACCTGAAATATTGATGTATAAAGTTGTTTCTTTAACAGACTGATTGATTTAATGTTCTAGCTCTGTTGGTCTTCATTTGCAATAATTTATTGAAAATTTATGCCTATGATCTTTTAGCATCAATACATTTAATAATTATAATAAAAAAAATGAAAGTCAAGCTGGCAATAGCCGTATTTTCCCAGATATCTAGCAATTGTAAAAGCTAAATACATAAAATTTATACCAACCCTGCACATGTTTATATATTAATTTGATAGATGACTTTAACGTAGAAATTCTTATAGAGTGATACACTAAAGAACTGAGCCAAGGAATAAAAGTTTCAAACCTTTCATTCTTACATAATAACTTATACTTACTTTGCTATGGTCAAAGTGTAGCTCACTCTCTATATAGACATTCAAGATGCCAAACAGGTTATCATCATCGTCATACAAGTCGTTGTCGTTAGTAGGTGTATCAGAGATATCATTCCAAGTTGCTGTTATATCAACTTCACCTTGATCTTGGAGATCTATAGCTTCGATGTCTAAGATGTCATCATCTAATTCTTTAGTATCTACAATATCATTATCTAATCCCTTTATGTCTGCGATGTCGTCATCAAATTCAATATCTGAAACATCATCAAGCGTATCACTGTCATATAGTTCATCATCTGTTGTTGTGTATTCTGTACTTGCACCATCAGAATCCGATGCTATACTAGTATCTTGAGTGTCATTGCTAGTATCTCGGTCTGACTTTATCTGATCTGGTTCAAAGTGAATCACTGTGATACTTGTTTCGCTATCTGACAGTGGATCAGGAGGTTTCTTGTGCACAACTGTCTCAAGTGTATCAGTGTCTGTCAATTCGTCATCTGTGTTTTCAGTCGGGTCAGATGCATCACTTTCATCGTCTGGTGCTCTTTCTTCTTGGTAGGAAATGTAATCACATGATGTGATATCACATTTGGTTTTAGGACTTTCCAATCGAAGACTGTCATTTTTCTCTTGAACTACTGTTGGCATTGCGAACTTTTCTATTATTTCAGGTTTGACATTGACCATATCCACTGTCTTAACCTCTGTTTTAGTGTTTACACGCTCTAAATATTCAGTATATAGATCTCTTGCATCATCTTTCTTGTTCCTGAGTCCATCATTTCTCTCTTTCAACTCTTTAATGACTAGATCATAATTATTGTAAAGTGGACTGTCAATCTTTTCTTTATTCGGTAGCATTACAACTTCTGAAACGTATTCCCGGTCGTTATGTCCAATTTCAGCAAAACAATTTTCATTATCTCTCGCAATCAATATATATTTCTCAATTTGGTATGGCGGGCATGTCTTCAACATTGCGACTTCATCTCGTATGTTTGCTCTAGTATTGTCTTTTTTAGTGTTTTCTAAGTATACCTGTTCAGTTAGTCCAGTTTCTGACAATACTTCTTTAGCTTTTTTAGTTTCCAGTGGAGCCTCGCTATAGAAGGAGCTGGCAAGCTGAGACATAATTCTTTCGACGTCTGTTTCATTTTGCATGTCTTTACGAAACTTTTCGTCAGACTCGACAACAGGTTTCCGGAAGTCTCCACGTTCTTTTCCTGTGACATCTAGACCTTTGTTATCTCCTTTGTAAAAGCTTTTCTTGAATTTTCGGGTAGCAAATTCTACTGAAGAAATTAGCGCCTTACCATGTTTCACAGGAGGTTTTTCTATGGTAACACCGGACCTGCTTCCAATGCCTATATGTAATACAACTTTGTCGAACGTGGCACTTGTAGGGATGATGACGTCATCATTATTGGCATTTATGAGGATGTCTGTAACGGAAGAAAGAACGCGTCCTATTTAGAAATATATTGAATGAGAGTGTAATTTCAATAAACATACTAGTTTTTTGTGGTGAACCACTAGCCGCTAACACAGCACCACATATAATCAATATTTGAAAGATGGCGGCCCACTAGCTGCTAACACAGCACCCCATATAATCAATATTTGAAATATGGTGAACCACTAGCCGCTAACACAGCACCACATATAATCAATATTTGAAAGATGGTGAACCACTAGCCGCTAACACAGCACCACATATAATCAATATTTGAAAGATGGCGGACCACTAGCCGCTAACACAGCACCACATATAATCAATATTTGAAAGATGGCGAACCACTAGCCGCTAACACAGCACCACATATAATCAATATTTGAAAGATGGCGAACCACTAGCCGCTAACAAAACACGACATATAATCAATATTTGAAAGATGGCGAACCACTAGCCGCTAACACAGCACCACATATAATCAATATTTGAAAGATGGCGGGCCACTAGCCGCTAACACAGCATCACATATAATCAATATTTGAAAGATGGCGGACCACTAGCCGCTAACACAGCACCACATATAATCAATATTTGAAAGATGGCGGACCACTAGCCGCTTACACAGCACCACATATAAAGAAATGAACCATAAGTTACAAACACAGTACTATATTATTATGATCTATAGTTGAAAGTATCGCAAATCATAACAATTATCACCTGCATTCTCATATATTCATCATCATGACCATCATCATCAAAATCATCATCATCGTCATCATCATTATCTTAATTATTATATTATTTTCGCAACCTTCATTCCATTTATCTTCAAAATCATAATTTTTAAAATTTCCGTCGCGGTAATCATCAAAATTTCTATTATTATCAAATCAACATTATTATTATCATCAACATCATCATTACTTCGATCATCATCATTATTAAAATCATCATCAAGTTCATCATCATCATAATCATCACCACCTCAAGCGTCATCATTATTAAAACCATGACCATCAAAATCATCATCAAAATCGCTTCTATCATCGTCATCATCCTCATCATTATCATGAAAATGATAATAATCATCACCTCCATAATTATCAACTCTATCCTCCATCACAATTATAAAAATTTAATTATCATGACCTTCTTCAGCATTATCAGCAGTACTTTTATCATAATCATGCTAAAAATATCTGTATTATCACCCGTATCATCACCATCATCATCATCAGCAGCATTTTCATGCATCATCATCATCATCACAATATAATTATTAACACCTCCATAATCATCAAGATAATAATTATCACCTCAGTCATCATTAATGTTTCGATCCTAGAATTATAATCAATATAATTGCATCATCATCATCAAAATCGTATTTATAATCACTTTCATCATCATTTAATCACTTAATTACACTATGACCGATGTTCGTTGCTGTCGCTGATTATTATGATTTGAATGATGTACTGTTGTTGAAGATGATGATGATGACCTTAATGATTACAATGATGGTGATGGAAATGATGCAGGTGATGTACTTTTGTTGATGTTATGTTGTTGTTGATGATGATAATGATGATGACAATGTACTGATAATGATAATGATTATGAAGTGATATTGACGATGATTTACAATGATAATGATGATGATAATGGTGTTGATGATCACAAATGGACTGATGATGATTATGTCGATGATGACGACTCAGATGATGATAAAGATGTTATGTGGTGCTGGTGATGATAATTAAGATGATCAGATGATCATGACGATCATGATAATGATGATGTAATGATAATTATAGTGATTATGTAGTTATAACAAATATGATGATAATGATGATGATGATGATGATGATGAAGATGATGAAATGTGTACGTCCCCGCGCGGGGTTTGACATTAATGGGAGATAAAACACTAGCAACAAACACAGCACCATAAATATCTAGTCTAGTTAACATAGTAACGCATATGACCAATAATTGAAAGGCAACTAACACAATATTTTAAAGATTGCGAATCACAGAACAGTGCAGTAACAGTAACAGTGCAGTGCAGTGCAATACAAGAAGTGCAAGAAGTACAAATACTTATACTTATCAAATCAAATAAATCAAATATCATCTATAATATAATATCAAATAATAATAACATATCATATCATATCATATCATATTTTTTCTTTTCTTTTTATTCAAATTTGAAGAATAAAATTGGAACACCATTTTATGTTAGATCTACCTCCTTTAAATAAAATCGAAACCTTGATTAACAATAAAAATATCATTCACCAGTTTGACATTGACATTGCACTAATAAATGCACAAAATTTCAAATTAATACATTTAATTACTTTTCCTCGAAAAAAATCTATGTGCGAAAATCACATTGATAATAACTGAATTTTAAGAAATGTTACCTCATTGTATTTATAATAATTATAATTTTATAGAAATCATTTCAAATACCTTTAAATGTGCTTTTCGCAGAATATTTTGTATCGTTTGACGGATTTTCTTCCATTTTTGTTAGAATTATTCGTCTCTAGTATTCACAGCAGTCGACATTTTGCGGTAACTATGCTCAAATTATTACGTCACAGACAATAACTGCGGCGTCCAATCATATTTGACGCGGTATGTGACGTCATGCGTCTTTTTGCAACAGACGTCAAAACGATTCAGTCTGAGGAATTAAAAAATTCTGCAATTTTTTTTTCATTTATTTATTTATTTTATTATATATTTATTTGCAAATATGGCCTTAAAGTTATAGAAAGCTAAGTTAAGACGAAGCATACCGCTTCAAATACAACTGTCTTAGTTGAAAGTTTTAATAGGACACATATTTTTGTGTGACTTTTGTGGTCTTTTTAAAAGTACATGTTTAAAGGCACAAAAAGCATTAAAAATAAACATTTTTTCCTTCTTATGACAAACATGTAGGCCTATTTTACAATGTTTAAAAGATTGATTTTGAGCATATTTAAGCTGAAAGCCTCCAGATAAGCCAAAATATTTCAAGAAAATCAAACTTGAGGAAAATGTGCTTAGATTTTAAGAATAGCAAAATGGTTCATGTTATAAGTTATAATCTGCATGTTGTGTGCGATTAATGACTGGTTTTGCAGTATTCATCAACGTATTTCTATAATGCGTGACTTACGCAGTGAGGACTAATTTTGCTTATTCTAACCTCCTTTTTGGTTATTTACGTGGACTGTATATAAGACTAGTGCCGTTTGCAAGGTGTAAATTACTTTCTTTTTCACTTCACAATATTTTACTTGTACATGTAGACACATTTTCAAAACTTTCTTAAAAATTAGCATGAATCTATACAAGAAATGGAAGGACAGATAAACATACAAAAATGTATACAACTAAAGAATTGAACAAATGAGACGCCGAGCGGACGAGTAGATACAACATCTGAACGGATGAAGATATGAAATTGAAGACTGAAAATACATTATAACATACAATTAGAGAATGAACGGATAAAATCACACAACTTAAGAATGAACCGATAAAAACATACAACTAGATGACACACGGATAAAAACACACAACTAGATGACACATGGATAAAAACATACAATACAATACAATGAACGGATAAAAACATACAATAAGAGAATGGACGGATAAAAATATACAACTTGAGAATGAACGGATAAAAACATACAATAAGAGAATGAACGGATAAAAACATACAACTTGAGAATGAACGGATAAAAGCATACAACTTGAGAATGAACGGATAAAAACATACAACTTAAGAATTAACGGATAAAAACATACAACTTAAAAATAAACGGATAAAAACATACAAGTTGAGAATGAACGGATAAAAACATACAACTTGAGAATGAACGGATAAAAACATACAACTTGAGAATGGACGGATAAAAACATACAACTTGAGAATGAACGGATAAAAACATACAACTTGAGAATGAACGGATAAAAACATACAACTTAAGAATTAACTGATAAAAACATATAGTACAACTTAAAAATAAACTGATAAAAACATACAAGTTGAGACTGGACGGATAAAAACTTACAAACATACAACTTGAGAATGAATGGACAAAAACATTCAACTTAAGAATTAACGGATAAAAACATATAACTTGAGAATGAATGGATAAAAAACATACAAGTTGAGAATGAACGGATAAAAACATACAACTTAAGAATGAACCGACAAAAACATACAACTTGAGAATGAATGGACAAAAACATACAACTTGAGACTGAACGGATAAAAACATACAACTAAGTGTCACATGGATAAAATAAACTAAACTAAGGTGAACGGATTGGAAATATGAACTATAAAGTCTGAACGTAAAAGAACATTGACTATGAAGGAATAAAAACAATATTATATGATTATTACTATAAGGACTGAACGGATTAAAAAACATTAACAATAACTATAGAGTCTCAACAAATAAGAAAATTTATTATGACTACAGTGTCTGAACAGCTTAAACCTTTGCCTATAAATATAGTCTGAACGAATAAGAACATTGATTAAAGCTGGAAAGCTGCTTTTTATTTGACATTTTAAATTTAAATGCATATTTCGGTTTTGGTATGGATAAACAATACCTCGCAACACTATATTGAAGCTGTGATTAACTAATTATAAAATGAATGTTTAACAGCCTATGCATTAAACCATTTAATGGACTGGGAGTTGATCTTTAGTTTCTTTGTACAAACCCTAAAATTCAATTTGAGTTCGTTCTGCTGTGTATCCTACTTTTTACTTTTTACCAGCATTTGTAACAGTTTTTTAAAATTGTATTGCTTCAGGTACTGGGTAGATTTGACAGTTAACGTATTGCTTTTTAATCTTAACCGATAAGGCAAAGACACACGTGTTAAAATCATGCTGAAGTCTCGTAAGAATCTCAATGCATTATTTTAGGCATGAGCTGGCACCTCAGTAGAACCATCAACCCTCCATCTGCCAGCTGAATAGATATACGAGTTTTAATTATGTACACGTTTCACAATACAAATAAATCTCATATAAATGAAATATAATATTAAAAAACATTTTAAGATGTGCATGGGGACAACATGCGTCAAATCAGTTCATTAGTCTGTGGTTACATTTAATTCTCTGACCATTTTATATTAATTACTTTATGTTCTAAACAACTATGTAATGGTCTACATATACACGAACCTTCTATTAAATAACTGTGGTGTAGTAAATTTTCTAGCTTATATCTAATTTTAATTTTATAGACGCGAAAATTATTTTCTGAAGTCATTTAGACCTACCCTGCAAAATTACATTTGCAGATTCATATGTTTTAAAAGTGAAACTAGGTCTTAGACTATGCTCATTTTTTATCACTGTAAACTTGAGGCTGAATTAGTAATAAATTTCAATGACAATTATAATGTTGATTGACCAGTAAATGATGTTAATTTTAATGATACAATATAAAAACGGTCTTAATTATAAAAAGACGTTTCCCACTCATTTTTAATTTTAGATAATTTGGTAATTGTATTAAAAAAGTACGAACAATACCTTTAAATGTGCCTCTCGCTAAACCCGCTTCAGTATCTGGAGATTTTTGTTCCATTTTTTTCTCTAGAAAAGTGCGTTTCTGTCGTAAGAGTGCGCCATTTTGCGGTTACTATAGCGTTCTGCTAAATTCTTATATTACGTCACAGACCATTACTGCGACGTCCAATCATATTTTGTACATAGCGGAAAGAGACGCCATACGTCATTTTGGATCAGCGTCGGCTATTGGCCTACGCTCAGATAAGTTCTTTAACATGTGTTTTTGACTGAAGGGAAATTTAATTAATTATATAATGGTAATCGTTTCCGATTTTATTTTTTTGTGTGCCACAGTAAAACAATAGATCGAAGAGTCTAATATTATTGCCTTGCGCTATCCATAAATTTCAAGTGTTAGCATTTTTCAATTTTATTTTAAATTAATATTTATATTTTATTATTATTATTATTATTATTATTATATTATCATTATTATTATTATTATTAATTTCAGAAATGGGTTTATAGATCTACATCCAGGAACATACCTTATAATTAATACTTCTAATAACATTTTTAATTGATTCTATGTCTTTTTTAATTAAACAGTATACACCCGCAAAATTCTCAATGGAACACTTTTTTCTTTTATAGTGCGAGTGTATCATTTCCTTTAATCTACATGTAAATATGTATTATTTTACTATCTATATGAAATCACGGATTTATATTACAATATAAATCTGATTGAATTTAAACTGTATAACGTAATTATCAAAAATAAACTATTGAAGCGTTTATAACATAGTTCTTTAGGTTAAAATAAATGAAAAAAATATATTTAAAGATTTACAGAGAGAACTTGAATATTTAGATAAATATGTAGATCTATAAGTGTATTTATAAAAGAATTAGGTCTAGCTAGCTAGATCTACATGATGTCGTACATAGATCTATATATTGTCACTTGAATTTTTATTTATTTATTTAATTATTTCAAACTTAATAGATCTATAACCAATATATACAGTATTTGATCTTTATTCAATATGAAATCTTTTTTTTTTCGAATCGTTGATTTTCTAAAGTAAATGCTTGCAGAAACATGCCGTAAAACCAAATTGTTATTAGTGTCACCATAAAATCCAAGCAACGCCAAATATTTACACAGGTAATCGCACTGCATTATGGGACCACATGTCAAGGCCGCCATTGAGAAAAACGACGAACAACTTCGCGGGAAAAGATTTATCGAGTTTATTTCGGTAATATTTGTTAGAAGAGGTCTTGTTTTTGGTCGGGATTGTAAGTTTACCTTTTTGTCTAATGTTTAAATATGAATTTATGCGATGACTTACACTGTGAAGGTAGTGTTTTTCTTTTTGAAAGCAAGTGTCTTTGTAAAAAAAGTAGGACACGGCATGGTTCCAGAAAAGAATGTAAAACTTTTTGACCTATTAAAAGTTTTTTAATATCGCAAGATACATGGAAAAACGACTGCCAATTAACATTTTCGAAAACATTAAAGCGTTTAACTATTTAAACAACAGCTGGGTGTGTTTAATTGAATGTGTGTTTATCATTAAAAAATATGCAAAAATGTGTCCCGATATTTACAGTACTCTTGAAATGGGTGGGGTATAGTAAATAAATCAAGCATTTTTGGTTTTCTAGCTTAATTGAAAAAGTTAAAAGGCATAGTAAATAAATCAAGCATTTTTGGTTTTCTAGCTTTACTGAAAAAGATAATTTGATGATACCACATATACAAGAAAGATTGGATAATAATTTTGTAAGATAGAGTAGAAAAATGGCTACATAAAGTCATAATTACATGCAATATTAATAATAAAGTGTGCGCGTGTTTAGGCTTTACAATTCCACAATTACACAGCGTATAACGCTACGAATGGCAATACTAAATCCTGCTAAAAACCCCGCGAAGTAACCGACGCCATTACCATAAACCAGTTCTGAATAATTGCCCTGAAAAGTTTATTTACTTAACAATCTATTCCTAATACATCCATGG